CATTCTATTTATTATGCTTGTACAGCCTTGGTTGTATAAATGTGCTTTAAAAATAAACTAAATTAAATTCAGAAATGCAGCTATGGCAGCACAAACGGCTGAATTCTTTTTTTTTTTCTCCAATCTGACAGCCGTTGGATGGACAGACAAATTTCAATCGTATCAGCTTAAAACACGACTCCCACTAAAACCACAATGTCACACCTGCACAAACATTCTCAAGTCTTCATATAAACAACGTTTGTTTGTGTTTAGTGTGCGATGATGACCTCCGATGCACGTGACGCCCCCTTTGTGCATCCATGCATGGCTCTAATAAAGGCAAAACAAGTCCGTCAGGCTGAACTCCAGCACAGGTGTCAGTGCTTCTCCAGAGCTTGAGTGAGGAGCTGATTCAGCCGCGAGATCATCGGACGAGGGTCTTCGTTCAGGCCAGCGGTGATCATGGCGTTGTCATATATCTGGTATGTAAAAATGGCATGTCGTTTTTAATTAGAGATAGGATTGAGATGAGAGAGTGGGGGAAACGTTTTCTTTACCTGCTCGAGGAGAAGCTGTGCCAGCTCAGGGTTTGAGTCCTTCAGTGCATGAAGCTTCTTGATCAGATCATGTCTGCAAACAAACGCTTGATGTTAGAGAAATTACAGCATTTCTACATGTTATGCAAGTACTAAATGCTTCATGCTTTAGTTCAAACAGCTGATAAAAACATCACAATAACCCATAATACATGTTTATAAGAAACAAATCCATCATTAAGATGTTTTAACCTTAAATTGTTGTTTCCAGCTAAAATACAAGTCCTCTATTCATAACATTGCCTTCTTCAGTGAAAAAGTCACAGAGAGAAATATGCACAGATCAAGCACCGTTTACAAGTGAAAAGAGTCAAAAACAGCTCTAAACAAATATGTCAGTGGATTCTGATGTGAGAGGACAACAGGAGATTGACTATTTCACTGGAGGGAGCATTATTACAGATTTTGGACTTGTATTTTAGCCAGAAGCAAGAGTTTGAAGTTAATAACTTCTTATTGATGGATTTGTTACTTACAAATGTGCAGTTCTTCACTTCACAAGACATTAACTGATGGACTGGAGTGGTGTGGAATACTTGTGGATTATTGTGATGTTTTTATCAGCTGTTTGGACTCTCATTCTGACGGCACCCATTCACCACAGAGGATCCACTGCTGAGCAAGTGATGTAATGCTACATTTCTTCAAATCTGTTCTGATGAAGAAACAAACTCATCTACATCTTGGATGGCCTGAGATTTTCCACATTTTTTCCTTTTTGGGTGAACTATTGCTTTAAGGCTCATCATCAGCAATATAACATTGTGTTCATCTGCATCTCCTCACTCTAAGGAAATGATTCTATACCGATAATCACGTTGGGATGATTGATTGGTGGTCTCTAAAAAGGCTGATCTCAAGCTGATGACGCTTCCATGAAAGGTTTGGCATGACATGCAGCGGCACTGTCTCAGTCTCTGTCTGGTGTGGGTGAAATAATTATAATGCTGAAGGTGAGGTACTCAAATAACTTATAAAGTACTTTGAAAACCTTGTGTGAGATGTAATTTCACAAACAGCGTGAGTGAATCGCCACGCGCTCTCTCTTTCTCTCTCAAAACATGCAAATGGCTTCAAATCACCACATCGAGTCTGTCTATAAGCCAGCTGCACGCTGCACAGTTGACACAGGGATTGTCACTTGTACAATCGAGGCAGTGTCACATCGTCACTAAAGTTTATAAATTGCGTTACCGTGCGCTCATGCACACTCGCACTGCACACACATAACGCCAGGTTCACATTACTCCGTTTGCAGTGCATATGTGGTGCGTATTTTTTCCGCGCTCATGTTAACGGATTAATAAAGCGTGCACACTGCACATGGTTGCGGTCCAGTGGTGCGCTCCAGGAGCGGTGCGTCTGTAGCAGTGCAGAGATCGTTTCTGCACCGAGTCTATTGCTGCACTGCAAGCACTGAATTAAAGTAACAGTGCATTGTTTGCAGTAAATATGAACATGAATTGACACGAAAATTTAATAATATGCATTTATGGTGTAATTACTAAAGTATACTGTGTTTCACAATCAACACATATGGCTTTTTGGCTAGGTTTAAAGGATAAGAGCACTTTTAGATAAACAAGGCAATAATAGATGGCACTCGTGGAGGTAGGAAAACAAAGTTCTTTATGAACCGCAGGATTGCTTGTAATAAAGATTTCAATGCAAAAGGAAAGGCAGTAGAGCTGACTATTTCTGTCAATGGTAAGTTTGTGATAACGTAAGAAAAGCAGTTTAAATGTTTTGACACTTGCTTGAGCAACTTAATCTATAAATCTATAAGTAAATGCAAAAGTAAAAAGCACTGAATAATGTGTTGCTTATATTTATTGTGTTTAAACATGTCTGTGAAAGATTGTATTACTGTACTGCGTAAAAGAAAAGAATTGCAATGCTGAAAAAGCATTTTCAGTGACAATGTTTGGATTTGAAATCAAAATAATGAATAAATGTTGTGTTTGTGGTAAATAGCTACGGATCAGCAGCGGACTCCTGTGTGAAATCTGCTTCCCCTCTCACAAGAGACACCTAAGAGGGGAATTCCCCCATTTTCAAAAATGAAATTCAGGCCCTGAATAAATGTCTAAAAATCCTGATTGGAGTATCACTATAAATGGTTATAAATGATTAAAAGGAGGATTTAAAAAGATTGGTATCGGAGATCGGATCGGCAGATACTGCTTTCTGTAATCGCCGATCGGCCTCAAAAACATCGGAGCACTCCTAGTAAAAATCACTGTTTGAATTTGCTAAATTATGTAAACGGCTGAGCATTTACAATTAAGCAGCATGTCGATCATCATCATAATACAAAGAGTGGTCCGGATTTATTACAAGGCTGATTACCAAACAAATAAAATATTGATAAGAGATGAAATTACTATTATAGAGAAATAACAAACTTATGAAAAACAAATGTAAATTTGTTTTAATTTGTATGCATAGATACATATTATTTGCATATATTACATATAATATACATACAATTAAAATGAATGTTAATGCACATAACTGCATTTCGGATTAATTTAAAATAACGAATATTTGAGACTGTTAAACAGAGTAACAGGCAAATTAAAGTTAAAAATGTGTATAGTGCAATTTTTACTTTAAAATTATATATACAGTGGGTACGGAAAGTATTCAGACCCCCTTAAATTTTTCACTCTTTGTTATATTGCAGCCATTTGCTAAAATCATTTAAGTTAATTTTTTTTCCTCATTAATGTACACACAGCACCCCATATTGACAGAAAAACACAGAATTGTTGACATTTATGCAGATTTATTAAAAAAGAAAAACTGAAATAACACATGGTCCTAAGTATTCAGTCCCTTTGCTCAGTATTTAGTAGAAGCACCCTTTTGAACTAATACAGCCATGAGTCTTTTTGGGAAAGAGGCAACAAGTTTTTCACACCTGGATTTGGGGATCCTCTGCCATCCCTCCTTGCAGATCCTCTCCAGTTCTGTCAGGTTGGATGGTAAACGTTGGTGGACAGCAATTTTTAGGTCTCTCCAGAGATGCTCAATTGGGTTTAAGTCAGGGCTAGTAATTACACCATAAATGCATATTATTAAAGTATACTGTGTTTCACAATCAACACATATGGCTTTTTGGCTAGGTTTAAAGGAAAAGAGCACTTTTAGATAAACAAGGCAATAACAGATGGCACTCGTGGAGGTAGGAAAACAAAGTTCTGTATGAACCGCAGGATTGCTTGTAATAAAGATTTCAATGCAAAAGGAAAGGCAGTAGAGCTGACTATTTCTGCCAATGGTAAGTTTGTGATAACGTAAGAAAAGCAGTTTAAATGTTTTGACACTTGCTTGAGCAACTTAATCTATAAATCTATAAGTAAATGCAAAAGTGAAAAGCACTGAATAATGTGTTGCTTATATTTATTGTGTTTAAACATGTCTGTGAAAGATTGTATTACTGCACTGCATAAAAGAAAAGAATTGCAATGCTGAAAAAGCATTTTCAGTGACAATGTTTGGATTTGAAATCAAAATAATGAATAAATGTTGTGTTTGTGGTAAATAGCTATGGATCAGCAGCGGACTCCTGTGTGAAAGCTGCTTCTCCTCTCACAAGAGACACCTAAGAGGGGAATTCCCCCATTTTCAAAAATGAAATTCAGGCCCTGAATAAATGTCTAAAAATCCTGATTGGAGTATCACTATAAATGGTTATAAATGATTAAAAGGAGGATTTAAAAAGATTGGTATCGGAGATCGGATCGGCAGATACTGCTTTCTGTAATCGCCGATCGGCCTCAAAAACCCTGATCGGAGCACTCCTAGTAAAAATCACTGTTTGAAATATGCTAAATTATGTAAATGGCTGAGCATTTACAATTAAGCACCATGTCGATCATCATCATAATACAAAGAGTGGTCCGGATTTATTACAAGGCTGATTACCAAACAAATGAAATATTGATAAGAGATGAAATTACTATTATAGAGAAATAACAAACTTATGAAAAACAAATGTAAATTTGTTTTAATTTGTATGCATAGATACATATTATTTGCATATATTACATATAATATACATACAATTAAAATGAATGTTAATGCACATAACTGCATTTCGGATTAATTAAAAATAACGCATATTTGAGACTGTTAAACAGTAACATGCTAATTAAAGTTAAAAATGTGTATAGTGCAATTTTTACTATAAATTATATATATATATATATATATATATGAAGTTATTTTTAATTGCATACTGTAATTTAAGTTCAAGATATGCGCTTAATTGCAATTGAAATATGTATTGAATTAACACTTTAAATGCATTTATATGTTATAATAGTACATACAAAGAGTGATCAGAATTTATTACATGGCTGATTACCAAACAAATCAATATATGGACATGAAATAGAGATATTAAAGTTGAAATGATTATTTGAGAGGAAAGAAATCAGACACTGTTGAATACCCAAAAAAATTAAAACTATAAATTAAAACTAATTTTATTTTGTTAAATGTAACAGGCTAATTAAAAATGTAAAAAAATATTTTGTACACATGTATAATGCAATTAATGATCTAAACACTTTATATTTTTATAGTATGTACATGCAATTTTTTAAATATAGTTGCTTTTTGACGATGTTTACTAAAAGTTACCTTTGCTACACAATCAGTATAGTTTTTTGATGCGAGTAGAAGCAATGAATGAGAATGTAATTGTGTTTTTTTGCATGTACATGTGGTTACCTTGATGTTGGTGACTCTCTGTACGAGTGCGTTCCTCATCCAGGCCATCAGATCTTCTGCCTGCTGATCTGTCAGTCGCTCTGATGCTGCACAACACAATCACATCACCACTGACTTATTCGTTTTTAGATAATTGGCCTTTCATTTATTTGTCTAAATGCTTAATTCACATTAACATTGTTTGCAAAACAAGGCAAGGAATCAAGAACATGAACTCATCAATTCAAGAGATGCAGAAATCACTCTTTAGTTGACATGTCTCAGATAATGACAGAAAACGGTGACTGTATTGACTCTTACCTGGTTTGCTGTCTTGAAATTTCTCCTCTTTGTAATGATCTACGACAATATCAGTCTCGGCTGAGATGAGCTTCTTCCTGTCGAACTCTCTGAGGTGAAGCAGCGTGAGCTCATCAAACTGCTCGAAGCAGAACAAGACCTGCAGAAACACATCTTTTTCTCTTGTTTTGCTGCAATCAAAATTACTTCTCAATAAATCCTTGTGCTTAACTGTAAATGTTTAACCAATTAAATATAGGACCAAACAAGTATTGTTTTATAAATATTGAAATATAAATACAGAATGATTAATAGAATAAATCAATAATAAATAAGCATTGAATAAAATTCATAAATATATAAATTAGTTTGTTCTTTTGAAGGTTAAAATGTTAGAGATTAAAAACCATGTTTTTTTTTAAACAATGTTATTGATTTAATATATACTGTTATATTAATTAGGAGGAAGAGTGACTCTGTCTTATTAAAAGCTATTAGGTTTTAATATTAAGTGAGCTCTCCATTTTTTTTTTACCCTGTGGTGTAAAAGAACAGACAGACACTAAATAAAAAAAAACATGTTTTCATGTTATTATTCAATATATATTAACATATTATTAAAAGTATAATACAATTATATTATTAAATGTAGATTTTTATATTATGATGTACATGTAGTGGTTTAAACATTTACAATTATGCACCATTTGAATCTATTTTCTTAAGATGAAAAAAATTGAGACCTTGGGAAAACAACTTTTTATCATTTTTGTCATGTGACCACAACAAAATAGATTAAATTATTTAATCAATGCATCTTTAGCCTTCCATTAGCTGCTGACCAATACTTTTGGCCATTTTGAGATAAACAGCAGCGTTGGTGCCCCTTGTGTTCATCTCAGGATCTGTCGACAGCCGTGTCAATGGATAATGCACAGTTTATGCTTTCAAAATAGGAGTGAACTGAGTACATGTTTAGTTGCAAATTAATTAGAGGTTGTTTCCAGCAAATCTGCAATGCATTCCATCAGCCTTCGGATCAACTTGTAGATTCATCACCCATTTTCTCTCGAGTATGACAGTGAATATTAACTGTGTACCTGATTGTCTCTAGTCTCACCTCCATATCTTTCTGTTTCATGGCCTCAAAGTATGGCGAGTGCTCGGCCAGGTGGCGATTCGGCGCGCACAGATAGTAAATGTTCCTCGTTCCCGCCTTCATCCGAGAGGCGTACTCCATCAGGCTGGTCTGCTGTCCCGCAGGAAGCGCTGACGACTCAAAACGCAACAGCTTAGCGATGTCCTCCTGTTACGACAAAAAACAGCTGTTTAAACACAATCAGAGAGAATCAGGTGGATTAAGAAGGCCAAACTGAGTCGTCTCGCACCTTGACGCTCTGCTCCGCTGTGGTGACGATGCCCTCGCGCATAAACAGCCCGTAGTCATCAAAGAAGCGAGCGTATTTCTCCGGATCCTTCTTGCTCTGGTCCAACAGGAACCGAATGACCCGCTGCTGTAAAACATCCCGCAGTTTCCTGAAAGAAAACAGTGTGTTACTCTTATTATTTGCACAATGCAGAAGGCATTACGTCATATTTCAGGTGGGTTTGTACCTGATCAGAGCACTTTCCTGTAGCAGCTCTCTGCTGAGGTTCAGAGGAATGTCTTCACTGTCCACAACACCTGCAAATGCAGTCACACAACAGTCAAATTTCCTTAGTTTTTAAATCTAATAATGCATTTAAAGTTTGTTTCACTCAAACATATGGACGCTCATCTGACCTCGTAGGAAGCGCAGCCACTTGGGCAGGATGTCTGTGGCTTTGGTTTGGATCAGAACCTTCCTGCTGTACAGAGCCACACTGGATCCCATCTCACGACTCACGTCAAACATGGAAGGTTTCTGCTCACACACATTTACACACCAGTTGTGCATCATCGCAAAACAAGAAGAGTCATTAGGATTTATTACATGGCTGATTATCAAATAAATGGATGTGAAATATTTGTGACATAAAAATCAGATACACCACTGAATACTAAATAAAATGTATAATTCAAAAAAATGTAATTAATTTAAAAATAACATTATTTTAAAGTAATGTTGATATGTATAATCCAATTTATGTACATAATTTAATCACACATAATTAAATCAGGTACACACTGTAATTTGAGTTTAAATGCATATAATTTCATATAAATTATGCATGAATTTGTATTTTAAATACATACTTCAGTTGGTAAATTATGTAAATATTTAAGTATTTAAAGGTGACATATCACGAAAATCTGACTTTTCCAGGTTTTAAGTGCTATAATCAGGTCCCCGGTGCATCTACCAATCAAGGAAACGTGAAAAAGATTAACACAGTAACTTTGTTTTGGTAAGACTTTTCTGCAAGCGTCTGAGAAAACGAGCGCGTCTGATTTCACTCCCTTGGTGACGTGACAAAGGGATCTCATTATAATATTACCTCCCCTTAATCTGTAAGTTTCCATCCACGGCGCCGTTATTGTGTTTTCGCAAGTGACAACGGTGTACCAGTTGTAATGCCATGGCGAACGTTTGAGCAGAACATGCTAACTGTTCTGTCTTTGGCTGCACAGACGAGCACAGAACACTGTTTACAGTCCCAGCCTCAGAGGAGACAACAGAGCAGTGGATTTATTGATTTATTTACTGTATATTGCTGCTGCCACACAGATCTAAAATAAACATGCGATTTATTTCCCAGCTGTTTACCTTCACAGACATAACCGACAGTTTTTTGTAACTCGTGTGTGTTTAACGTAAACTTGTGTGAATGAGAACTTAGTTTAGTACTCGCATGCTGTGACAGCCGCTTTCTGTCCGTGTGCGCTCAGAAAACCGTATATCAGAAGTTTAAACTCATATGGTTTAAAACGCATGATTTCAGCACGATAAACAACATAATCTGAACCAAAACAGATGTTTTTAGCAGGTCCGAGCTGTAATGGTGCAGCTCTATTCTGGAAAAGGGGGCGGGGAGCAGAAGCTCATTTGCATTTAAAGAGACAGGCCCGAAAAACAGCTCGTTTCTGCTTCCACTCAAAATTGGCATTTTCAAAATGATATAATAAATTATCTGTGGAGTATTTTGAGCTGAAACTTCACAGACACATTCTGGGGACACCAGAGACTTATATTACATATTGTAAAAAGTGGCATAATATGTCTCCTTTAAGTTATTAAATACAAAATAATTGTAAAAAATCAATACATTTTTAAATGCATAATGTAATTTTAAAATATGTATATGCTTGTTTTAAAAATTATATATGTGCAATTTAAGTACATGCTTGATTAATTAAAATATGAAATCAAAATATGTACAAATTAGTACTTTAAATGCATACTTCAGTTGTTAATAATGTAACATGTAACTAATAGATGTAACTCATTTAAAATAACTATGTATTCAGAGAGAGAGAAAACAGCTCAGGGCTGATCATCAGAGCCACAGGGAGGTCAAAGGTCATTTACAAACAGACCTCACATGCTGTACCTGCAGGGTGTTTAACCGCCGTCCGTTCAGGAAGATGGGAAAGCTGACAAAGTTACTGTACTTGGTCACAACCTCTGCAAAACAGACCACAGTCACTTCAGTGAGTTTCTTCTCCAAGCATCTCATGTTTTATGTCAATGTTTGTGGTTTTGAGGGCTGCACACCTTTGACTCGGTCTTCTGATGAAAACTCTTTGCAGTCGTCTTTAAAGTGGAGCACGATCTTGGTTCCCTGACGCACACCTGAAGCTTCTGCGATCTCAAACACTCCAGAGCTGCAGACACACAAAACCAAGTGAGTAAAACACAAAAATGTGATTAATGTTGACAAATGTTTGCTTTGTCTTAATGTTAGATGCCTAAAGGTAGTCTAACAGCCACAAATATGGCAAAAGCTGGCAGAGATGTGCAGTTACTTTGCGTGTTGATGGTAATTTTAGTCTTGATTTCAAACTCGGCTTCCAATGATCAAGGAAACCCAATAATTTACATAAAACTATAGTGCCACCCATTGTTTTTCTTTAAAGCAGTGCACGTTTCACCCCAAACGTAATGTCCAAATCAGTCAAATCATTTAATGTTACTGATGTAATATGCAGTCGGTTTTTTCTGCTGTATTTGCCCTATTATTTGTTATTTCTCTTCAATAATTTACTTGTCTTCAATAATTGTTTAAGGGCTTTTTTACCTGCATTAGTTAGCCTAGTATTAGTTACTTTGTCATATTGCCCACTCCTGATCATGTTTAAATAATCGTTGTAGCGTCTCGACCAATCTGACACACTAACTTTAATTTGATTTAACAAATCAATTATTCATTAGGTTAACAAATCGTCACAGTCCCCTCACTCAATAAACTGGATGCCAGGATGTCTGCTGAACACCAGGCCCTCTGGTCACCATGACAACTAATCATGATATCACTGGTTTTATGACCCCCCAGGAATGTGAGAAGGATAGCCCACTCTTTGTCCCAAGGAAAAGCAGAGTAGAAATGGACTGTGTTCTAGTTAATTCATAGAAAAAACGTTATTTGAATGAACACACATATTTCTTCAGGCCATTGAGTATATTATTGTCATTGTGTATTTTGTCTGTGATATTCTTAGACTATTTTAGTATGCTTGTGAGGGGACCCATTCCTGATCATCCCTTTTCACTATATGTAATCTTACCTTGTTTAGTATCTATGAATTTGCCTTCGTATGATCGAAACAAGCGTGTATATTATATGGTGGTACATAGGCAATATATATTCGCCCGCCTGAAGCTTATGCTATCTCAAACCCTCCAGAGCTGCAGACACACAAAACCAAGTGAGTAAAACACAAAAATGTGATTAATGTTGACAAATGTTTGCTTTGTCTTAATGTTAGATGCCTAAAGGTAGTCTAACAGCCACAAATATGGCAAAAGCTGGCATAAAAGTTAGCCTAGTATTAGTTACTTTGTCATATTGCCCACTCCTGATCATGTTTAAATAATCGTGATTATGATATTAACCAAAATAAGTGTAATTATGATTTCTTTCATAATCAAGGAGCCCTAATAAAAAAGCACATCCTTTTTGTCTTAAAACTGTTCTTAAACCCATCTCTCTTCTCATTTCTCTCACCCGTCTGAGGACCACTTGTATCCAGGAGCGCCTGGTTCTGCTGACTGAGAATAAACGTCCACTTTATCAGCCACCATGAAGGCGGAGTAAAAGCCCACACCGAACTGACCGATGATGGAGCTGCTGGCCTCCGCTTGATTCTGAAGAGCATCCAGAAAAGCCTGATGGAGGAAGAACAAAAGGACCATGAAATAAAACCACTGATCGAATGAGAAACAGCAGAGTTTGAAGAGTTCAGTGAGAAGCACCTTTGATCCAGATCGAGCGATGGTGCCCAGATTAGCAACCAGCTCCTCTTTGTTCATCCCAACACCCGTGTCCTACAAATCAGAGCAGAAGAATGCTGATCAATACATTCTACACAGCAATTAAAGTGCTCCGTCACTACAGTGGAAAACTAATTAATAACATTGAAATATATTTTGGTCTCTCCAGAGATGCTCAATTGGGTTTAAGTCAGGGCTCTGGCTGGGCCATTCAAGAACAGTCACAGAGTTGTTGTGAAGCCACTCCTTCGTTATTTTAGCTGTGTGCTTAGGGTCATTGTCTTGTTGGCAGGTAAACCTTCGGCCCAGTCTGAGGTCCTGAGCACTCTGGAGAAGGTTTTCGTCCAGGATATCCCTGTACTTGGCTGCATTCATCTTTCCCTCGATTGCAACCAGTTGTCCTGTCCCTGCAGCTGAAAAACACCCCCCCAGCATGATGCTGCCACCACCATGCTTCACTGTTGGGACTGTATTGGACAGGTGATGAGCAGTGCCTGGTTTTCTCCACACATACCGCTTAGAATTAAGGCCAAAAAGTTCTATCTTGGTCTCATCAGACCAGATAATCTTATTTCTCACCATCTTGGAGTCCTTCAGGTGTTTTTTCATGTGTCTTGCACTGAGGAGAGGCTTCCGTCGGGCCACTCTGCCCTAAAGCCCCGCCTGGTGGAGGGCTGCAGTGGTGGTTGACTTTCTACAACTTTCTCCCATCTCCCGACTGCATCTCTGGAGCTCAGCCACAGTGATCTTTGGGTTCTTCTTTACCTCTCTCACCAAGGCTCTTCTCTCAGTTTGGCCGGACGGCCAGCTCTAGGAAGGGTTCTGGTGGTCCCAAATGTCTTCCATTTAAGGATTATGGAGGCCGCTGTGCTCTTAGGAACCTTAAGTGCAGCAGAATTTTTTTTGTAACCTTGGCCAGATCTGTGCCTTGCCACAATTCTGTCTCTGAGCTCTTCAGGCAGTTCCTTTGACCTCATGATTCTCATTTGCTCTGACATGCACTGTGAGCTGTAAGGTCTTATATAGACAGGTGTGTGGCTTTCCTAATCAAGTCCAATCAGTATAATCAAACACAGCTGGACTCAAATTAAGGTGTAGAACCATCTCAAGGATGATCAGAAGAAATGGACAGCACCTGAGTTAAATATATGAGTGTCACAGCAAAGGGTCTGAATACTTAGGACCATGTGATATTTCAGTTTTTCTTTTTTAATAAATCTGCAAAAATGTCAACAATTCTGTGTTTTTCTGTCAATATGGGGTGCTGTGTGTACATTAATGAGGAAAAAAAAATAACTTAAATGATTTTAGCAAATGGCTGCAATATAACAAAAAGTGAAAATTTTAAGGGGGTCTGAATACTTTCCGTACCCACTGTATATATATGCAATTTTAAATTTATTGTGCAAATCATTTAAATTTAATGTATTAAAACTTATTGTAATTTAAATGCATATTTCAGTTGTTATTTTGTAGTAAAATGACATTATATATTATGTTTAATAGATAATATTTTATAAAAAGAATGTAAATAATGTAAGTCACAGTGGTTTAGCTGCTTTAACGAAAGACTGTAAGCTCATGATATGTGGGCAAGAAAAATGCCCCTGCACAACTGAAATAAATGCAATGCAATGATTAAAGTGAGAAATGAAAATAAATGAAGTACCAATTGCAGCACTACATTTAGATCTGCTCCCGTTGCAGATTGATTCTGTTGCAGATCACGTTGATTTAAGACTACAATGGCCACTCAGAGGCATTTAGGTTAGTCACGTCTGTAGAAATCATCTGAGTTTTGTTCACTGTTGTTAAGTGTTAAAGGTTCAAAACACTGTTTGTTGTTACAAGATGAAAAAAAAAAACATGCAATAGAAAGATATGTAGATGCTTGATTGTTTGCATGACTAAAAAGTGTGTTTTATTTCATAAATTGAAAACAGCTTTGGAATTATGCAAACTATCAATAGAAAACCTGTTCTTTATCTTCTTTACTTAGAACGCAATTGGTCTCAAGACTATTTAAATAAAGTGATGTGTAACGGAATATGACGTATCTTGAAAAAAAAGTATCAATAACAGCTGTTTAATCTGATTCTAATGCATGATTCTGTTCTCGAGCCCCTCAGAGTCGTGATGGAGGGGTTGTATGGGCTGAAGGTACCTGGATGGTGAAGGTGCCTGTGGCTGCATCTGTCTGCAGGTGGATCTCCATGGGTGCTGTTTCTCCTCCTGCTGTGATCATCTTGTGCCGCAGTTTCTCCAGAGCATCACTGCTGTTTGAGATCAGCTCTCTGATGAACACCTAACACAGCAGGTGTGTGTCAGAAAATCACTGAGTCTATTACATGAAGTTGCAGTCTGATTCATGTATTTATATGATTTTTCCTGTTCATGCATATATTATATTATTATAATTTATATAGATATTTCTCAGATGGGTTTCTAGTTGTAAATCAGAATCCAATCCTTGAAATTAAAAGCTATGTTTATTAGTGCAAAAACTTCTCCAATGAGAGACAGACAAATGATGAATGCCATATCAAGCTGATTAAATATGTAATTATTTGATTAGTTTTTGATCCAATAAATCTACAGGGTGGCCAATATGTTGCAGATATATACATAATACAACTTTACGATGACAAATCGGATGAAATCAAATAATCAGCCTGAAAAATGGTACTGGTTAATCAATAGATTGAGTCCTGTAGGAGCATACAGACTTGAATGCTTCAAAATAAATAATCAAACAGGACCGCATTGGATCTGTTTTCTGTTTAATATATCACCTCTTTCTCAGAATACAGCGATCTGGCCACAATATCCAGCAGTTTCTTCGTCTCTGCTTGAAACTCGTGTTTGGAGTAAGATCCTTATTTGAACAAAGAAACAAGAGTTTAAACATATACTTGCAATTTCAATACACTATAGTATATGCTTTAAGTTTTGTGAAATATTATTACAATTTAAAGTAACTGTTTTCTATTGTAATATATGTTTAAATGTAATTTATTCCTGTGCTGCAAAGCTGAATTCTCATCATTACTCCAGTCTCCAGTGTCACATGCTCCTTCAGAAAACAGTTGTGCTGTTCTTTAGTCACTTTTGATCAATTTAATGCATTGCTGCTTAACAGAAGTATTCATTTCTAACCAAATAAATAAAGAAATCTGTCTGACCCCAAGCTTTGGTTTACCTTGAACGTTCTCGGTGTCACTGATGATTGTGTGGAGCGTGTCCTCCTCTGCGCTCTCAGCCTGTTGTGTGCTGTATCTGCGATGAGCCACACTGACCCCAGCAGCAGCACAGCTGGAGCTCCAGAGTCTGGCAGATGTGGAGTGAGGAAGCTGCTGTCTGACATTAGTGTCAGCTGCTGAAGAAAACGAGTCAGAATCAAACAGCACTGAAGTTTATTAACCATATAGAGGGGGTTGGATTTGATAGTTGCTACTGTCAGTCTATGCTCAATAGTTTTTTACATCTGCATACGCAGGTAAATATGGAGATTATTTACAGAAATTGATAACATTACTGAACATGTCCAGCTGAGCAATATAGACTTATCAGTACAAAACTGGTTTATTTTGTCAATGAGACAAATACATGTTTTAACCGAAAAGTCTGCGTTTATTTGATTAAAACCATTCGTCACCCGTTATAATATTTCATCACGCTGCTGTGCTCTGATTCACTGATCACACTATCTAACAGCTCATCCATGATAAACACATTAAACATGTACCTCCAGTGAATGTCGCGACCCCTCTGCTGGATGATAAGAGCCTGACATGAGCCCTCTGAGAGACATTCAGAGAGTATTTGAGTAAACCTAATGATCGGATCATCTCTGCTTCTGCTGTAGTTTAACCTATAGAGGACTGGAAACTGCGGCGTACGGTGAGTGAAAGGACCCTGTTGACGCTCACTGATGACGTCTGCGTGCAGTTCGAGACATGCCTGTGTAAAATGTTTTAATGCAATTTCTCGAGCGGCTTTTGGAGAAAAAAAGTTTAATTTGACCCCTTTAAACGCTATTGGTCTTTAAATAAAGTGATGTGTAACGGAATATGTCATAGCCTGAAAAAAGTAGCTTTTACAGCTGTTTAATCTGATTCGAATGCATGATTCTGTCAGCCATCATTTCAGAAGTGAGGGGGACAGAAATGTCAAAATGTCAAATGTAATAATACCTCTTTTTTTGGTCTAATCAACGAGTTTTTTCCCCTCATCTCTTACTTTTAATTGGCTAAGAAATCAAATACCCTGCTAGACAATTACCAATAATTTGTATTATTAATTACATTTGTAATATTTTTCCTATATTTTTGTAATATTCAGATATTCTAATTTTGGTTATGAATAAAAGGTCATGCATAGACTACCTTTTCTCTTTGAATTGAAATCAAGATTTCTTTCACACTGGCTCCTAAAAACCTCTATGTGAACACACTTGCCCCAAAAAAGTGCGGGGGACTAATTTTGCTTTTATGAAAAGTGGGGGGACACGTCCTCCGCGTATTCTACGCCCATGCTACAGGTCTCTGCAAAGATTTCTGACACAAATAGCAGTCCTTGGTCAGACAGAATGTAGACTGGGACTCCCCAATGAATGATTATTTCTATGACCAGGATTTGTGAGATAGACAGAGCTGTAGCTGTCTGCAATGGAAAAAGTTCCACCCTTCTGGAGAAATAGTCAATAAAGACCAGTAGATAAGAATTTAGCTAGGAACTCCTGGGAAAAGATCCCATTATATCAACACAAAGCATTTCCCAGGATTCTGTTACCAGTAGGGTTTGCTGTAACTTCCCAGCTAGTTTCTTACCCTTTGGTTTGTTGAGCTGAAAAACTGAACAATTCCAGACATACTTCTTGACATCCAAACTTATATTAGGCCAGTAAGCAAGAGATTGCAACCTTCTGAAAGGTTTGTATCTACCTAGATGACCTGAGAGCAGGTCATCATGAAAGAATCTCAAAAGTCTTGCACATAAGAAGTTGAGTATCCACACTTGGTAGATGGTACGTTGTGGTAGCTGGAATATACGATAGACTTTGTCCTCAATAAAGGCCAGAGTAATAGAGGAGTTGCCTATATTCTTTCCATCGTCCAGAATAAATAGATACACTTCTTGCACTTCTGCATCCTCTTGTTGGACTTTCCATACTCCATTGTCAGTAACAGGAAAGACAGATATCTCCCTTTGGTGGATATTAATACTATGGCACAGGTTGACGAGTGAGGTTGGTCCGCTGGAGCAAGGGAAAGGGCATCTGGAACTGTATTGTACTTTCTTTTTTTGTATTCTGTGCCTAGGCCTCTCTACTGGACAAATACAGCTCCAAGGCCAATATCACTAGCATCAATGTTAACCACAATTGGTAAATCGAAATTAGGATGTCCTAAGCTCAACAAATGCTCCTTAAGGGTGTCAAAAGCAATCTGACATTCAGAAGTCCATTTAAACCTTGCTCCTTTTTATTTCAGGGCAGTGAGGGGTTTGGCTATTTGTAAAAAATTTGGTGCAAAGCCGTGATGTCCGCCTTTCCCAAGAAACATGGAAGGGATTTTAGATTTGAATGCACAGGAAAGTTGTTGAAAGCTTGGTTCTTCTCATAGTCTAATTGAATGGCGTCAGAACAAACCACATGACCGAGGAATTTCAATACATTTTCTTTTTGTAATGGATTGACACAATTAATTTGGGGTGCCAAGCAGGTGATTAAACCTGCAAAATTTCTTCAGTCTTTTAGTCAGTAAACCCTGCAAAGGATTCGTAAATTTAGAGGAATAGAAATACTTTTCTTAACATGTATGCATATGTTTGTACTTGATTGCACAGACACTATTTAAACTGAGCTGGATGATGACATCACTGAATTCAATGATGAACTGCCTTTAACTGAAAAATTTGTGTTTACTATTATGATTTTGCATTATTGACACTATTTTCCTAATTAATGCTGTACAGTTGCATTGACACAATCTGTATTGTTAAAAGCGCTATATACAGTAAATAAAGGTGACTTGACTTGTATGGGTGAACTATCAACACACAAACAGCAAGACTTAATTCATATAAACTAGGGATGCACGATGTTACCATGACCATATCGGTTTCGGCCGATAAATGCTCAATTTTTTCTGTTATCGGTATCGGCCCGATAAGAAAATTTGGCCGATATCTTAAAGCCAATAAATAATGCATTATGTCCTTCAGAGACACTTCAGATGAGCGCTGTTCGTTTGCAGCCTTTTGTGCAATTGTACGTTGTAATATTGTGTTTATTTGATGTATATCTGATTTATCTCATATAGCATGCGTTTGGTTAAGTTAAAAGAGCGCTTCAGTTTACCGGTGATCGTCTTTAACTCAGTGCACTCAGCTCAAACAGCAGTGCACAACATTAATAACTATGATTGGGAATGTCGTGTATATAACATTCTAATGAGAACATTATTATAATAAAACGTTGTGAATCCTTTGGGTTTAGTTGCCGTGTTTCAGCACGTCGTTATGGGAAGAGCGCATCCACAACAGGATCACACATTCTGACTATAGCTATAGCTAATAGCATTCTGACTATTTTGTACATATATAAGTTATAATATTATGTTTATGTTGTATTAATATTAATCTCAGGATGCATTTCCTTGAGTTAAATAAGCTGCCAGCAAAACGCTTCAGTTTACCATGTTCATTCAGCTCTTCAGCTCCAGCACGCGCAGCTCAAACGGCTGCTGTTTAAAACAGTGGTGTTAATTTGTAAAAAAAACTCAATTCCAGTTCAGGAGCTCATTTAACATAACAAAAACATTTCAACAATTCAACAAAAAGTTACATAATTCAAAAATTAAATAAAATTCAGGTCATTCCTTGACACCTCCAATACATTGGGGTGTAAACCACCAATTTCATAATTAATTCATTTTGGTTCACATGAACAATGGGTTCACAATTCAACTTACAGTATGCACTCAGTTTCACAGTCCATCAGTCCATATGCACTCAGACCTTTAAGAATCCTTGAGTCCAGTCAAACCAGCATTTTGCAGACGAGTTGCCAGTATGTGCAGTTCGGAAAGATTTCTTTCAGCACTTAAAAGTAATGATATTGGCAAACCACCATAAGAATATAAAAAGAAACCATACTTGTTTGGTTCAGTCAGTCAGTCAGATGAATCATCTGTTCTCTCTTTTCTTTGTAATCATCCAGCAAACTTTCAAACAATGTCCATGCATTTCCAAGAAGTCCCTGAATTTTTCTTTCTACCTCAAAGCATTCAAAGCATCTTGAAACATGCAGGGGTTAACTTCCCACACCTTCTTCTAGGTGGTTGGCAAACAAACAAAAGGTGCATTCTACTGAGCTGGAGTGTGGTTCATTGATGGAACAGGAAGAAAGACTAAGCTTTGAAAAAACAACAAATACATTCTGAAAAAATCTCTTTCACCACCAATTTTATTTTGCATCTGATAAAGATGTCTTCCTCTTTCCTCCTCATTCCATTGTACTTGCCATTTGCCTTTTATAGCCGTAATTATAGCCTTAACGTCTTCTTTACAAAGTGGAATATTCAGTTGTATATAAGATCATTTCAGTGCCTCCTTTGCTAGATGATCCAGTATATAAAAATTTGGATATAGATTTATCAGCTAACATTTTCAAGAATTATTGGTTATCGGTATCGGGCAAAATTTTCATATCGGTGCATCCCTAATATAAACTCTTAGTCATTTTTGAAAAGGAAAAAAAGATATACCATTCAACGAGGGCAAAGCATTAAGGATTCACAAATGCACAGAAAAAAACTCAATTCCAGTTCAGGAGCTCATTTAACATAACAAAAACATTTCAACAATTCAACAAAAAGTTACATAATTCAAAAATTAAATAAAATTCAGGTCATTCCTTGACACCTCCAATACATTGGGGTGTAAACCACCAATTTCATAATTAATTCATTTTGGTTCACATGAACAATGGGTTCACAATTCAACTTACAGTATGCACTCAGTTTCACAGTCCATCAGTCCATATGCACTCAGACCTTTAAGAATCCTTGAGTCCAGTCAAACCAGCATTTTGCAGACGAGTTGCCAGTATGTGCAGTTCGGAAAGATTTCTTTCAGCACTTAAAAGTAATGATATTGGCAAACCACCATAAGAATATAAAAAGAAACCATACTTGTTTGGTTCAGTCAGTCAGTCAGATGAATCATCTGTTCTCTCTTTTCTTTGTAATCATCCAGCAAACTTTCAAACAATGTCCATGCATTTCCAAGAAGTCCCTGAATTTTTCTTTCTACCTCAAAGCATTCAAAGCATCTTGAAACATGCAGGGGTTAACTTCCCACACCTTCTTCTAGGTGGTTGGCAAACACACAAAAGGTGCATTCTACTGAGCTGGAGTGTGGTTCATTGATGGAACAGGAAGAAAGACTAAGCTTTGAAAAAACAACAAATACATTCTGAAAAAAAAAAAATTATGGAACATACCATTTATACCATTTATACTCTATAACTTTCCAAGCCATTATTCAACAGTTTTTAAGTGTAATATTTCCTATCCCCATTTCTTTGAACTCTTCCACGAGAATTATCCTTTCATTTTGATAAGCAGTGCAATATATTAATACATGCTCTACAGTTTCCGCTAATCCACATAGACTGCAATTCCCAGACTCATGTTTGTTCATTCTATACAGGGAATAATTAAGAGCTGTATGCCCAAGGCGAAGTCTGGTAATGATTGTGTCTTCTCTTCTACTGCCTCGATTTTCTCTTTCACCACCAATTTTATTTTGCATCTGATAAAGATGTCTTCCTCTTTCCTCCTCATTCCATTGTACTTGCCATTTGCCTTTTATAGCCGTAATTATAGCCTTAACGTCTTCTTTACAAAGTGGAATATTCAGTTGTATATAAGATCATTTCAGTGCCTCCTTTGCTAGATGATCCACTTCCTCTTCCCACACCTTCCCATTGTCCAAGGCATGTTATCTTGGCCTGCCATCTTCGCCCTCTGTTAAGCAGGACATCACGTGCCTCAGGGCCTCATGTGACTCAGGACATCATGTGCATCCCAACGTTTGCCATTTCTACTGGTTTAAGCAGTTTTTCTGAAACAGAAAGTGATTGTAGATGTGTATGAAATGTATTTGGTGTAAGCAAGTATTCTGAGGCAAAACACTTGCATGTTAACACCATTCTGTGAGTTTCTGATTATAATGCATGTTTTCTCTTTTCATATTTTTCATTTAACATCCATTTTTCTCAGACATGAAGTTCATTTTTTTGACGCTGCTGGTTATTATTGGAATTAGGGATTCAAGATCAGGTAATGATTTATTCTTTTTAAAGAGATGAAGCATGTCTTTATGTGTTTACGTGGGAGGAAGAAATAATTACACAAGGAATAATGTACACTAAGCTGGTCATCGTCTGGCTAAAGGGGTTAATTCTGTACATTCTGTAATTCTTATTACACATTGCTTACCAAATAAACAAATACATCAACATGAAATATTGATCAATAAGTTATCTTGTAAATATCCATGAAGTAAACTAGAGATGAAGTAAATGTATTTTGAAATGTACAAAGAATTTTGAAATGTATTTCAACTTATCTTTAAAACTCATGGACCGTCACACATGTTACACACACATTTAAAGACAGAGCTCACCCAAAAATGAATAACCATACATTGTCATCTTTTACTCTAAAATAGCAAAGAAGCATAGGACCAGCATATAGTTACCAGGGCCTGACACACACACACAAAAAAACCTACCATAAAAGTATCTGACAATAGCTTATTTGGAAGGAACAGACCAAAACAAGGTCATCATTATCTTTTCACTGTAGCCCTAAAGTCAAACATGATATGTTATGATCAGTGAGACGAGAAAGATCAAGTTGTGTCATTTCAGTTTCAACATTAAACCTGGCTTGACGCATCTAAGTGTACTGCTCTTATGATTTGTTTGTCCTTTTGGAGGTTGCCACTCAATGATGTATGAACATTATACAAAATATCTTCTTTTGTAAAAGGAATGGAAGGTTTGGAGAGTAAATAAATGATGACACCTCAGTTCACATAATGTAGTGAAGACTCAAAACCTGTTAGACTTATTCTCTTTCTCTTGTAACAGACCGGTATGAAGTAGTGGGAGCTGCAGATCCAGTATTTGCTTTGGTTGGTGAAGATGTGATTCTGCCCTGTTCAGTCAAACCCAACATCAGTGTTGTGGACATGAGAGTGGAGTGGTTTAGATCTGATCTGAAAGACTCAGTAGTGCATCTCTATGAGGATAATGAAGACAGAAACACAAATCAGAGTCAGTCCTACAGAGGGAGAACAAAACTGAATCATCAAGAACTACAGACAGGAAACGCATCACTCAAACTCTCATCAGTCCAAGTCTCTGATGAAGGAATTTATAAGTGTTTAATTCAGTCCAAATCCCGGTCTGTCGATGCCACTGTTATGGTCAGAGTTGAAGGTGAGTAAACCAACCCTGTTGAAAAAACCAGCATATGCTGGTTAGGTATGTTTTGACGCTGGTTTAAGCTGGTCCTTTGCTGGTTTAAGCTGGTCCTTTGCTGGTTTATGCTGGTCCTTTTGCTGGTTTATGCTGGTCCTTTGCCAGCACATGACCAGCATAAATGAGCAAAAGGACCAGCATAAACCAGCAAAGGACCAGCTTAAACCAGCATCCCAGCATCAAAACATACCGAACCAGCATATGCTGGTTTTTTCAACATGGAATGAAAACTATAATTGAATGAGTTTAGTCTTGATTAATTTAGTGTACATGTTGCTGTTTTATGATTCACTCAGTCAATGTTCTTCATCTGTAGCTGTTGCAGGAAGTCCTCCAGTGATCACTGTAGATGGATTTGATGATTCAGGAGGGCTTCGTTTACAGTGTGAATCTGAAGGTTGGTATCCTGAGCCTGATCTTGAGTGGCTGAACAGTGAAGGAGTCAGTTTGAGTTCAGAAACTACAGAGACACACAGAAATGCAGATAGATTCAGTGTGAAACACACTATCACTATACATCACAGTGACAAGATTCACTGCAGAGTCAGACTGAGACATCACATGCTGGATACACAGATTATCACCTCAAGTAAGTACTGACACTTTTGTTCCTGTACTTGTCTGTCATGTTCTCGTGGTATTTTTGATTCAGTAAAAAAAGAACAAATATTTTCAGCTTAGGCCATGAAGTTAAAAGCACAGCAGCATTAGATTTACAATAGTTTTGTATTAACAGTATGTATGTACAATTCAAAATTGATCATTATATATTTTAATTATATATAATGATTATATATTTTAAAATGTTTGATTTACACCGTGTGCTTAATTATGGTTTTGTTTTGCAGGTAATATGTTTAATTTTTGGAGGACATCCGTCATCCTGATTTCAGTAGCTGTTGTGCTCAGTGTGAATGCTGGAATACTTATAACTGTGTTTGTTAAAAAAAACGGAGGTAAATTCTTGTTTTCTTGTTATTTTATATAGTTTATGTAAGCAAGTTAGATAGCCTGTGAATAGTTTTCACGAACAATGTCATGAACAATGTTAACTCCACCACATTTCAAATGAATGTTTGTGTTTAATCCATGATGGCAGTTTTAAACAATATAAAATGAGTTTATGTATGCTAGACACTTGTTGGCTGGTTGCCTTGGTTGAACAGATGTAGGCCTATAGATGTATTCCAGAAAGCAAGGTTAGCTTACCGTCACGTATACGTTGAGCTCTCAGTTGATTTCAGTATGAATAAAGGATCGTCCTCACGATCCTTCTGGCTTTTGGGGTTTTAAGCAGGAAAAGTTACCACAGGGATAACTGGCTTGTGGCAGCCAAGTGTTCATAGCAACGTCACTTTTTGATCGCCCGATGTTGGCTCATCCTTTAATTTTAAAGCAGAATTCACCAAGTGTTGCATTGTTCACTCACTAATAGGGAACGTGACCTGGGTTGACTGAGGAACCGCGTTTTCAGATATTTGGTGCATATGTTTGGCTGAGGAGTCACTGGTGCGAAGCTACCATCTGTAGGATTATGACTGAATGCCTCTAAGTCAGAATCCCCCCCTAAAAGTAACGATACAGCGGGACTTTAATTGGCCTGGGATAGTGAGGAGAGCCTCTCATGACCGGACCGGGATGCCCAAAACTTGCTTACTCAAGGAATGCTAGTCCCACGGTTATCACATATGACCAGGGCCACTGCTGGCCAAATGGGTGCCCTAAGCAGAATTGTACTGAAACTGAGCTAAAACATGTGCAAAATCAAAACAAACACAGATGAACCCTGACATTATCCCTCCTTTCAAGAAGGCGACATCCACAAAAAAATTAAATAAATAACAATCCAACAGAGGAGAACAGAAGGGGGCTTCGGTGGGGGATGCCAAGCAAGAACATGGGACAGGCAGGGTCAAGGGAGAGATAAAGTTGGGAGTGGCCTGGGTGGAACCCCTAGCAGGATGACCAGGACATTGACCCACACTGGAGCTGAGGGAGGAAGGAGCCATGGTGAGGCATGGCTGCAGGAATCAGGGTGACGATTGACTGAGACACAGCCAAAGGCAGTGGAGTCCAAGGCAGAGCCATGGTGACAAGCAGCTGGCGTGGAGCTGGAGGACAGGAGGAGCCCATCAGAGCTGAAGGGATGAAGTGTAGATGAAGGCCTGGAAGTCAGTTGTGCAGGCAGAGTGACGACTGACCAAGGCAGAGCAGGAGGAACGAGGAAGCCCGGTGGAGCTGAGGGAGCGAGGATCCGTCAGGTCGACAGGCCAAGGTGGAGCGAAGGGTACAGAGGTTCTGGGCGGAGCTATGTGGCCAACACTCTAGGGCTGAGCTGACGAACTAACCAGCTCAAGGCGGATCCATGATGTGCTGGACAGATTGCTTGAGAGGAGACGCAGTGCTGATGCGAGACAGTGAGCGGAACAGGCAGAGGACGATGGGAGTGGGAGGCAGGGTGGGAACACAGACATCAATAACACAGTGCTAGGTGACAAAACAGGCTCGGTGCACAGGTAAACAAGCATGACACAATCAATTTTGAAGTCGATCAGTGCTTCAGCACTTCAGAAACAGGAACAAAACAGCTGGGTAAAGTGCAACGAGAACTAACCATGAACTAAATGAAACACAGATCTTAAATAGACAGACTAAACCAATCGAAATGAATAGAAGGTGTGCAAGTAAATCAAACGATAAAAAACCATGTAGTAACAGATGAAAACCAAAGTACTCCGGAGCAGGTTATGTTCAGATTGCTATGGCTACTTGCATACCCTTAAAGGTGCCTCCGGTTTTTGGAACCGAAAACTGAGTTTATCTGCTTACTTACCCTTAAACATACCCGTGTATGTCACATAATCTGCTTTTTGTAATACCCCCCAGGTGTATATAGCCTATATATTTAGTGCTGTTTTCTCATGTTTCATTATGAAATTTGAGAAAAGGAGAATAAAACATGAAGATTTTTTTCTTTATTAAGTTATTAATTTATTATTCATCTAAAGTCAGTCTCTTAACAGACTCTGTGTATTACTTTTGTGTATCTTGGGTCCTGGTCAGCATTTGTTTGTATATTGTATATTTATTCAGTTAGCAGATGTACATAACTTGCTGTACATGGCTTGTTCTTTGTTAGAGTTATACATTTTTTATTCATCTTTTTCTGAATTGCCTTTAGAATGTGATCAACGTTTACAAAATCAGAAGATGATTATATTACAAGGTGAATTTGTTTATATGGCTTCATTAATATATTCATTTATTAATTTTGAATTGTTGGAATGAATGAATGAATTAATTAATTAATATGCTGTGTATTCATATGTGTACAATTTGTTATATTGAATTATAAGATATATAAACGCTGTAAAGTCTTCTTGGATTTTTTTTGGATCAAGTGGTGATTAAAATTATCGATCTCATTATTGATCTAAAGATGAATTCTGTTATGAAGCCGTTATAACTTCGTACTTTATGTTTTTAGAGATCACACATTTAAGAACACACACAGGTGAGTACAAATTACTCATGTTTAATAACATAATTATTTATTTTAATAATTCATAATTTAATTTAATAATTCTATTTTCCCAAATTCATTATTATGTCAAACATTTTATGTGTTTGGGAGTTTTGTATAATGCACTGTATAAATGCAATCAAATGATTCAAATCCTAAATGATCAAATGCAGTTTTAGTGCCATAAGAGAAAACTATATATTTAAATTTATAAATGTTTAATAAAAGAAAAGCAAGACAAACAAATCAACAGGCAACAAAATGACACACAGAGAAAACTCAAGCACATAAAATAAAACAGCAAAAACACGATCTGAACAATTAGAACATTAAACATTACATTTATTTACAATTAATTATGCATTTTTTATTCCTCTTTATCTTGTTGTAAAGTTACCATAATTCCTTTTTAAAAAATTAAACATTGCATGTATTTTATTATACTCATCTGTAAAGCAGATGTTTCTATATTTTTCAGCAGGGGATGTGATTCTGGATGCTGATACGGCTCATCCACGTCTCATCGTGTCCCATGATGGGAAACAAGTGAGAGATGGAAACACACAACTGGAAGGAGTGGATGGAAAAAAAGACAGATTTAATGATTATCTTGGTGTTCTTGGGAAGGATGGATTCTCCTCAGGGTGTTTTTACTATGAGGTTCAGGTGAAGGGCCAAACTGAGTGGGATTTAGGAGTGGCCAGAGTATCTGTTAACAGGATGGGCTTGACCGTTGTGAGTCCTATGATTGGATACTGGACTGTAAGTCTGAGAGATGGGGAGAGTTGGGCTCGTAAGTCTCCACATGTCTCTCTTCCTCTGAGTGTGAATCCTCAGAGGGTCGGTGTGTTTGTGGATTATGAGAAGGGTCTTGTCTCTTTTTATGATGTGGAGGCTATGTCTCTTATGTATTCTTACACTAATCAGTCTTTTAATGAGAAACTCTATCCATTTGTTAGTTTGGGGTATCTGAGGAATGAAAACTCTACACCACTGATCATCTGTGATGATTACTACTGAGATCAGTGACTGAATTTGCGTGTTGAAATAAATGAAATAAAAGGAAATACACTAATAGCAAGAGTAATAGCAATGCATATTAAATATTATTTACACTACTAGTTAAAAGTATCATGAAGAGCTTATCATACAGTTAACATACAGTGTCTTTTTAACCCTGTTTTTGTTATCATTTGTTATCACGTGTGTGTACGAATTTGTGTGTGAAATAATGGCGCCTGGGCCAGGTGTCAAATGTTTCACTCATTTCTCAGTCCATTTTTTCCAAAAAAAACAACAAAATGGCTCTTTAAACTTTAAAAAGGTGTTGCATTTTTAGTTTAATAAATCCTACAGTCAAAGCTTGCAGACACATGACTACCCACAGAGAACGATTTCAGCAGCCCGTTTATTAGCTGGAATAATGAGAGGGACTCTTTCATTGCGTGGGTTGTTCGGTGATAGGTGAAAGAGAAAATCAACCTGGATTATTTTATTTATGACTGTTATAAACTGTCATATGAACTCTTGTTTGCTTTATTAATATCATATCATATCATATATCATGTCAACAACTGAGTAGGTAAGTCATGTCACAACTGAGAAATACATTTACCTGATCAAGAGTTTGTTTAGCATGAGTGATATGAGGTCTTCTATTGGTTTAGAACAAAGAATATGTCTTCTTACAAATGTAAATAAATATAAAGGAGATACAAGTTTTTTTTAAAGGATGATTTTGTTGTTGTTGTTGTTTTTACAAATATAAAACAAAGTAAATGCTATATGTAGATACACGTTGTGTATGTGCATCACGCCGGATCCGTTTCCTACGTTGTTGTGATTTGATCTGAACGGAAACAGCGTATCCGTGTGACGCAGCTGACACAGAACAGCATACACTGTTTTCGTCCAGCTCCACTCTCCAAAATGGCACCAGGGTGATGCAGAGGAGACGAATTGTTGAATAAAGTCGTTTTTTTTCTTTTTCTCACAAGAAGTATTCTCGTAGCTTCATATAATTAAGGTTGAACCCCTGATGTCACATGGATACAGATCTCTTTGCTAAGTTTCTGGACTTGGGAACATTTCAGTTGCGTTGCTGTCTGTGGGAGGGTCAGACAGCTCTCAGATTCCATCAAAAATATCTTAATTTGTGTTCCGAAGATGAACAAAGGTCTCACGGGTTTGAAACCACATGAGGGTGAGTAATTAATGACAGAATTTTCATTTTTGGGTGAAATAACCCTTTAACCAGTTGTAACCACTTGTAACAGTAAGGTGTTTGTGTGTGTGTGTGTGTGTGTGTGTAATGTTATGTTTGGTCAAAAAATATATGTGTAGGGAATTATTCTGAGGCTTAACACACACATACTGTAGTGACACATCATCCTCTGAGTTTATAAAAATAGTTTTTCCATATATTTCTTTAAAGCATTGAGATCCTTTGGAGATGGAGTTCTTTTGTTTGACTCTCCTGATTATTAGTGGAATTACAGATTCAAGATCAGGTAATTTTTGCTCCTTTTAAAGAGTGTAAGTTGTAATGTATAAACATAATTCCTCATTTACATAAAAGTATTCCTCATTTATTCACCCAAACTGTATGACATCCGTTCTGAGAGCTGTCTGACCCTGCATAGCTGAAAACTCATCTCTTTCGAAGCTACTTGACTTCATCATAAAAATATATATATATATTTCTCTTTATTTATTCCTTCTCTTTCTGGCTTGTACTTATTTGAACAATGTATAAAACTTGGTATTACAAGCACTTCTTGTATCTGTTTGCCTCTTTAAGAAGAATCGCTTTATGTATCCCCCAATTGTAAGTCGCTTTGGATTAAAGCGTCTGCTAAATGACTAAATGTAAATGTAAAATGTAAATGTTCTTCTGTGGAACACAAACTGACAAAGACTTAAACTACTTCAGTCTGTGTGCATTGAATTTATTTAATACACGAGTTTCACAATTTGAGTTGAATTACTGAAATAAATGAACTTTTCCACGACATTCTAATTTATTGAGATGCACCTGTATATATATAATATTTTTTTCTGTCTAAAAGTGGCAAAAAATAAATGACAAATAAAGCAAAAACAAACAAGCAATCAGAAATCATAAAGGGGAACCTAGATTTGTGTCTTCTGTTTTAAAACCCACCAGCTGCCACTGCACTTGTGTCATTTGACAAAACTTTAAGAAAATAATGCAGTTGGATTGAGATTTTGAGCAGAATATCTGGAATTCTGTCATCCGAATAATGTGGAATATAGTGTTTTGTACTGTTGTACCGCCAAGCCCCTGAAATACAAAAAGGTCTCACAAATTGAGTTGTTCCTATTAATTAACATAATTGAGCGGTAGACCTAGGACCAATTAATTTGATCTATTTCAGTAAAAACAGCAATGTTAAATGTCACTTATCTAGCATGTAAATTTAATGAACAAGATATTACTTGTCTGGCACTGTAACAGACTTTTTTCATTTGTTTCACTTGAACAAGCCTCTCAAAAGAGGGGTTGCACTCGAAAAAGTGCACAAAGACCTACACCTTTGTGATAAACTGTTTTTTGAAATTGATTTCCGGTGTGTTGTCTTTTGTGGGGTCATAGTTCTCTATGTTTGTGGTCGATGCATATAATGAAACCACATTCCTTCACATTTGTGTTTGCATTTTCATTTACTTGTAACATGTCTGCCATACTTCATAATCAAAGTGAGGAATGTTACATACGTAAGTCTGTGTGACAGAAGTAGCTGTGGCAGGTTTATCAGTGTCGCCTCAGGTGTTCAGTTACATAAGAAAGTGGAACTAAACTAGGAATGATCTCCTTATAATCTTACAAACTCTTATATCAACACAATTTGGCAAAAAGACACTCTTGAGAAAAGTCAGTGATGAGATGAAGGTAAATCATTTAACCTGAGAAACCTGAATAAGTTTAAGTGCAGAATGAGTGTGACCTGAGGACCATGAATATGTTTAACAGGTTTAATGCAAGTAATACTTGTAAATAAATATAAAAGGTGTTTGAAACGGTATTCAAAAGCTTTTTCACAAATAATAATTTCTAGATGTAGATACACATTGTGTATTTGTATCCTGCTTGGCTTTACCCAGTTTAACAAGTTTTCTTTCAACAGAAAGTGACTATTTGGCAAGAAAGGTAAGTGTAAGCTGACACTCCATTTCGTGAGGTTTTTTTTTTATTATAATACACGTTGTCTTTTTCATATTTTTCATTTTATCCTCCATGTCCTTCAGATATGTTCATTTGTTTGAGTCTCCTGATTGTTAGTGAAATTACAGATTCAAGATCAGGTAATTAATTATTCATCATTGTAAAAAAAATTTAAAAACAGAGCGAGAGAGAGATAATAATTCAAATGTTAATGAAATGAATACAGCGGGTGTATCTTTTGAGGGTATGAGATGTAAACAGGTCAGTTTAATGTGCTGGATGAAGCCTCAGCAGAACCAATGCAGATTTGATTAGTGGCAAAGTCTGATACTCCTTCAAGGCATGTGGAATGAGGAAACATCTGCTTCAGGAAAGGTGTGTCTGTTTTATTCTGACTGAAAAAGACAGTTCACTCTGTAACATTGTCACCTTTTACTCATCCTGATGGTATTTATTTTTCATTTATTTCCATCTTTATTTATTTGTTTGTTTAAGTAGTCTACCCCACCCCCCGACCCATTTCTTTTTGGGAAGCATCAAATGCAGCGATGGATGAAGTAGACAAATCAAGTACTTGAGTAAAAGGTACCCTAATAAAATACTACTCTAGTAAAAGAACTCCTTTTCAAATTTACTTTAGTAAAAGTACAAAAGTAATTGATTTTATGTACTTACTGTAAGTGTTAAAAGTAAAACATTCTGATTGATGGATGTCTATTTATTTAGTTTTATTACCAAAACTTGTCAAAAACTGATAACTACGCAGCGTCTATGAAACGCTGCAAATTTTTAGATGTGCTCTTGGGGGGAGGATGCATTAATTTGCACCGTTTTAACATTTTAGTTTTTAAATAAAACTTGAACCATTCACAGATGTCCACATTTAAGCACTTCATACTATTGCTTACAAGAATTAACCATGGTTTTACTACCAAAAAAAAAAAACCTAGTTAAACTATGTTCAAAACAATGAAGAACGACATGATTTTAGAAGAAGTAGTTGAGCAACAACAACAACAACAACAACAAAAAAGCTTTAGAATGCAGTGAAAATAAAGTTTCGCAAAACAAAAATTCTCAGATAAAGTACAGGTCCTTAAAAATGCACAGTAATGAAGTAAAAAATACTTTGTTACTGTCCACCGATGTGCCTAAAACCTAAGCCTAGAAACTTTTCACACTGTTTACTTGGAATAATGAGGATATCAAATAGTGACACCTCAGTTTACTTGTTAAGGTGAAGACAAAAACTTTTCAGATATGTTTTTTTCTCTCTTTACAGAGCAGTATGAAGTAGTGGGAGCTGCAGACCCTGTGTTTGCTGTGGTTGGTGAAGATGTGGTTCTGCCCTGTTTAGTCAAACCCAACATCAGTGTTGTGGACATGAGAGTGGAGTGGTTTAGATTTGATCTGAAAGACTCAGTAGTGCATCTCTATGAAGATCATGTAGACAAAAATGCAGATCAGAGTCTTTCCCTACAGAGGGAGAACAAAACTGATACATCAACTACAGAAAGGAAATACATCACTCAAACTCTCATCAGTCAAAGTGTCTGATGAAGGAATTTATAAGTGTTTAATAAAGTCCAATTCATGGTGATGACGCCTCTATTGATGTCTGGGTTAAAGGTGAGAAAACCTGTGAAATACAGTAAACTGTAGCTTTATTATACACTAAATGTACTGTATAACTTGAATGAATTTTTCCATATTTATTGTTTCTCAAGTATTTTTAATTTCACACTGTATATTGCATTGTGTTTTAGAGTTAATGGAAATGTCTGTAAATTGTGCTGTGCAATAAGCTGCCAGTACTTTTTTGAGGTTACACTTT